GGGAGTGGAGTTGGGGATGTGGCCGGAGTGTACGTGGTGTCCACTCATGGAGAACGTAGGAAATAACTGTCGGTCTGTAAGGATTGCCTGAGGATGGAATCTTCGTCCTGGGTCCCTGGGCAGGGGCCAGGCAGCCACCAGCTGGAGTTCTATTAAGATCAGAGAGAGCGTTCGATGGGATGGACCCTAGAACCTCCCAGAACATACTCCGTCAGTGGTACAGTGGAGTGGTGAAGAGGTGGGCTTTGCTGTCCGCTCTGAATTTTGAGGCCCAGCCCTGCCCCGTACCAGCTGGGCAACTTTAGGCCGTGCACCTGACCTCTCTGCTCTGTGGTTTCTCCTTCCTGACTGGGCTACGACAAGTACTTGATGAGATAAAACACAGAAAGCCTACGTAGCACAGTGCCCAGACCATGACAAACACCCATTGTAGCTGCTGCGGCCATTATTGATATTAATGATGGTGATGCTGCTCTTCTACCTGGCTGGCCGGGTGCTCCTGATCACTTCATAGTCTGTTCCACCTTTGAGTTGTTTGTTTTTTCAGCAGGTGCTGGAGGACATGTTTGCTGTTTGGGGCATTTAACTGCCCCACTCTGGGTACTTGCAGCTTCACTTCCGGTGGCATTTGGGGGTTGGGGGTTATTCAGATGGTTATCTGAGTAAGGGGTGACAGTTCTGCTGGGCACCAGCTCGGTCAGTCCTGCGTGGATGGTGGCTGAGTGAGCACCGGGAGAGAACCAGGGCCTCTGAAGCTGGGCCCGGCTTGCTGGCTGAGTGGGCGGGTCGGCCAGGATCCACCACCCACCCCAGCGCCAGGCCTGCCTTCTGCTCCGTCTCTGGCTTGCCTCTGCCTCACTCACCATTGTTTTCCTTTCGGAATTGACAGCTTTGTTGAATGTGTGAAACTGCAGTTATCAAACTCGGCTCTGCCTCCTCAGGATGCAGGGTTTTGTCACTTTGAAACACTCAGGTGGCTGGGGACCAGCTTCCCCGTTCAGCTTTTAGTTGAACCTCCGGCATGAAGTTCACTTTGCTTTTACATTTGTTTGCTTACCGTTTGCCATAAGACTTTTCAGCTAGTTGGAGAGCCACACAGTGATGTTGTCTGTCTCTGAGACTAGAATTCTCCTCTAGAAACAGGAGATCCCCATCACCACCACCAACTCCCCCCCCTAACTCCCCACCACCTCCCTGTCACCCCGCCACCACTACCACCATAAGAAATCATTTTGTGAAAACAGCCTGGTTTCTTAACAGTGTCCTTCAGCCAGACAGTACTTACACAAGCGTGTGTGTGTGTGTGTGTGTGTGTGTGTGTGTGTTTCAGATGCTGTTACTCAATACAAATCAATTTTTGTGCAAATCAATTAGAAAAGGAATCCTCTAGACAAGTAGCATGGATAAGATCTTGGCTGGAAGCTCTGGGAAAATTAATCTACAAACGATAAGGACTGAAAAGCGAAGGGAAAGGGCTTTGGAATGGATGGGTCTGTTTTTTAAGCAAAAGAGCTGAATCCGGAGGAACAGAAGGGAGAAGAGGAAAAACGGAAGTGCATGAAGCCATGTATGTCCCTTTAAGTGGAGAGACTGAAATCTGTCTCATCCTAGGAGTTTCTCAGAGGTAGAGAGAGAACTCAGCTCTCTGTGCTCTCATGAGCATTTTGCCAGAAGACTCCCCCCGAAGTTGTGAGCATTTGGACAGTGAGACCGACCTCACAAAGTCCTCTAATTAATGGGATAAATGGTGAAGCGAGAGACCTGTGTTCCCCAAAGCACCAAGCTCCTGCCTTGAAGTCAGCCCGAAGCCTCTGCCCAGATGATCAGAAACTTAATCATTAAAGTCAGATGACATTTAAAGTGCCGCAAGGTTGGTGTGGGGGCATCCGCGAGCCTCCCCCTTTTCTCCTTAATGTGTCTGGAATTGAGCTTTTGAGCTTTTGTGATTTAGGGTTCTTCTAAGTTCACTTCCAGATGATTCCTTTTTTGCAAGCGAAGAGGATGACAGGCTGGCAAATTTATTAGGTGTGACAGGAGTGTGTCTCATCAAGTTACCGTGGTGCTGGCCTGTCACCATAAAAGATGCCAGAAGCCATCGTCTTTGTGGGTGTCTTCCTAAAGCCATCCTCAGGGAGACAGGCTCAGATTTGAGCCCACGGGTCTCCCAGGGCTGACCCAGTGCCACCCTCAGGCCCAAGCAATGCTGACCTCCCCCTATGGCAGTCACTACAGCTTCACTTATGTATTCAGCAGCATTTACTGAGCACCTACTGTTTGCCAGGCCCTATGTCAAATGCAAGAGACCTCATGGTCCCAGTCCTCATGGCATCAACAGTCTGGCACTGGAGAGGTAATTAAACAAGTAATTAGAGGCAAGATAGCGCAACGGGATCAAAAAGCTCGGAGATGGGATCTGGTGAAGGCACCCATGTAGTGCCCAGCGGAGACATGCACAAGGAGGAGTCGGAGTCGGGGGCAAGCATGGGTGGGTGTGCAGGAGGAGGCAACAGCCCCCAAGGCCCAAGGAGAGAGGGTGAGTCCACTGCTTTGAGTTACTAACATCGTATCTTGCAGTTTGGACTTAATCCTGGGGGCTTTGGGGATTCTCAAGATTTTAAGCAAGAGATGGCAATCTCAGATTGGCATTTCAGAGTCTCTGTCCAGCTGCAGCAGGAAGGGTGCATTCGAAAAGGGGGTCAAGGCAAGGGTCAAAGAGGCTGGTGGGGGTAGTGCTGCCAGATTGAGCAAATAAAAACACAGGGCATCCAGTTAAATTTGGATTTCAAGTAAACCACAAATTGTTCTTTAGCATAAGTGTACCCCATATGATATTTGGGACATACTTATACTAAAAAAATTCGTGTTTGTTTATCTAAAATTTAACAGGGTGTCCTGTATTTTACATAGCAACTCTCTGTGAGAGGCCGGGGCTGCCCAGCAGAGAGATGATAGTATCCTCGTTAGGGTGATAAGGGAGAGACGTGGATGGATTCAATGACTATTTAGGAGGCAATATCCCCTTGACCAAAAGCCTGTATTGATTGACCAGGAGTGGGGAATGGCAGCCATAGAGAACCTTGTCCCCCAGACCCCAGTGACAGGTGCCACAGTGGCTGCAGGACCTCCCTGTGCCTCAGGACTCTGGCCCCAGGAGAACAGGGCTGAGCAGGGGAGGGAAGGCAGGTGATGGCAAAAGTGGAATAAACACTCATCCTAGGAAGCAATGATGCCAGCTTTCGCTCTGGGGGCTTTAGGCAAGTCATTGACCTCTCTGGGCCTCTGCTCCTTCTTGGTCAAGTCCAGCTACGAGTAGGTGACTTCAGGGCAAGTTTCTTCTCCTTGTGGGACTCCCTAAGGTGTAAACCAACCAAGCCAGGTATTGAGACAAGCTCCCAGCACTAAGGAGCTTGTCTAAATGCCACACCAACCAAACCACAGAACCCAAGAGGACCCAGATTGGGGTGTGGGGTAGATCCCGTGTTTCTACACTGTGGGCGGATCATCTCCCAACACATCTTTTCACTGAGCACCGACCGAATGCCAGGCCCTGTGCCACTCCAGTCAATTACTTACTGATCCTGCCGTCCCACCCACTAAGAGTGGATGGTAGCACCTACCTCTCCCGGTTATCCTCATGGTGACATGACAACTGTCTCCCGTGGCTGACACACAGTAGGGCTCAGGAAGTCACCCTTGATCAGGATTAATAAAGCACAGACTCATTTACCTGCCAGCTTTAGCAGGGGGAGGTATGGGGGGGCATTATAAAGCAGTGGGGATGATGCCCCAAAGAGAAGGGCTTACAAGGGAAGAAGCATCCCTGGGCAGGTGGGTCTAATCTGGGGGGTCCTGGGGTTGGGGTGGCTTACCCGAGAAGGCTGTGCTGGAACTGGGTTTCAAGGATGAATAAAAGTTGGCAGGTAGATAAAGGGTTTGAGTAGCCAATTGTCCGTGGCAAGAGGCTCAGTGGCCACTGGTTTGCACTGGACCAAACTCCAGTGAGGCGCCCAAGCAGGGCCCACCCTCAGGGAGAGGGCCAGCCAACCCAGCCTGGATGCTCTGCCGGCCCCTTCCAGGGGGGCCATTGTCCGAGACACCACAGCTTCCTAAAAGGCCTCCTCCCTCTTCACCCTGGAAACTTGGCCCTGCTTTCCTGCCTATAATTTCATCGCATTAAACACTTACACATCTGTGCCCTTATGTCCTCTCCCAAAAGTAGGTCATTGTGTTGGGCCAGGTTAAACAAGCGTGCTGCTCTTGAACTCTGTCGTGTAAATTGCACTTTGGAGAGTGGGAAAGTAATTGCTTTGGCAATGGCATCCGTTGCTTGAAGTTCACACACTTGGTAGAGGCTCTCGAGCAACCCCCGCAGTCCTAGAAGGTGGGATGCAGAGGACAGGCTCAGGGGCGATGGGAGAACTGGGCTGCACTGGTGGGAAGGCGGGGCGGGGGTGGGAGGGGGCCTATAAAGTGTTCACCATCCCTGTAAAATAACTGAGAAAAGGCTCACCCTCGAGGATATGCGCTTCCCAGTGGGAGACAACATTGCCTTCCAGAGTCTGAACCGCAGTGGATCCTTAAAAACGCTAAAAGGTGGTGAGCAGGAGCGGCCTGGCCTCGCAGATGTTGTCTGAGCTGTAACTCAGCTCACCTCCTGCTGTCACCCCAGCCTGTTCATCTCTGCCAAAGCCAAGAGCATCCCAGCCCTGCGGACCCTCTCCGCTGGGCCTGGGACGCGGCAGCAAAGTGTCTGCTCCGGCCTAAGGCAGCGGTGCGCGGCTGGTCGCAGGGAAATTGGGGTTGTAGGTTTCTGCTCGAGATGACAGCCAGAGAAATTCACCGTGAGCATTATTGATGTGGTGGTGGTGGTGGTGGTGGGGTGACCACCTCCTTTTTCCTTCGTGCCTTTAAGTCCGCTTGTTCCCTGGGACGGGCCTCAGGGGTTCACGCACCCTGCAGCAGGGAGGGACGCGGGCAGTTAGAAGTTTAACCTGGGGAGCTAAACAAAATCCGCGTGCCTGGCTGCACCTGCAGCCACTCTGCTGTAACTGGCCGTGGGTGAGGCTCAGATGGGCGTGTTTTTAAAACTGCCTGGAGATGCTGATGGGCAGTCGGGGTTGGAAGCCGCTGGTGGAGCACAACCCACTCCCGCCACTCTGCCTGGTTTACCGGGAGGAAACTGACACTGACATCAAAAAACACCCGACCAGGATTCAAGAGGGCTGGATTCTGGTCCCGTGTTTAATATTTATTCAGTCATTCATTCATTCATTCACCAAGTATTTATTAAATGGCTGGCATTCTTCAGCCAGGTTATGATAGTGAGAGACGAGGCCTGGCGCCCGCCCCATAGATCTCTAGTCCGACGGTGTACACAGACAAGAACCAGGGAATCCCCCACATTTCTGCCCCCCGGAGTGGAACCTGGGCCAGAAGTGTCTATTAAACGGAGATCTGACCAGGTGAGGGAGGTCCGAGGTGAGAACCTTCTGGGCCACTGGAGCAGCATGTGAAAAGGGAGGTGGGTGGCCAGGGCCCGGATTGGAAGAAGGGCACTGAGGGCAGAGCACAGGGTGAGGCAGAACCCTGTGGCCCTGATCCCCTTTGCTGTGGGCAGGCATTTGGCGGGGTGGGGGTGGAGTTGAGGGATGTAAGTGGCCTGGGCGGGTATGTTTCACGCAAGAACCCTTGGGCTCCCCTTGGTCATGTGGGCCACCAGAGCAGACGCCTGGCTGAGGAAGGTTCCTCCCCCGAGACGGAGGGCCTTGGCCATCCAGCAAGGCTGTCAGGGGCTGTGGCCGGAGAGAGTGACGGCTTGGCCTTGTTCCGTTGCAAGAACGCCTGGAGAAGTGGCTGGGTCCGCTTACTGAGGGCGTAGAATCGGTATCCCGTCGTCATCCGGTGAGAGGACCTTGGGCAGCCACTTCTCCTGGGCCTCAGGTCCCTCATCTGTCTGATGGGGAGATCCTAGGAGTTGACCTTCAAGGTCTTATCCACCCTCTTAATCATATTGAGGCCACCTGTGACGGCCCCATCGCTGTTCCCTGGCAGAGCTGGAAATAAAACCTTAGTCTCCAAACCCGCCAAGCCAGCCTCCCGCTTATTCTCTCTGAGCCAACCCCACTTTCCCTATTCTTCCTGCCCTGGCCTCTGGGAAGAACCCCGAGTTCCAGCCTGGCGGGCAGTGGGTGGGGTCAGCCCCAGCTCGGCTCCCAGTGGCCTCATTGTCTTCTCTTGGGCACACGTGCCCATTTCTGCAGGTGACACAGGGCGAGCCCCAGAAGTCCTGCTCCAAGGTGACTGACAGCTG